TGACTCATTTCTCTATGATCAATTGCATTAGCACAAACACTGCATCCGTGGTTCCTTTTCCCGGCATAGTTCATCACCTTTGATAGTTTCCTTCCTGATTCTACTTTCATTTATCCTTTCCCATATTTTCCATGGCATATAATCCTGGATATTTCCTTTCTCTTTATAGATAGGTATAATGACACTCTCCCTCCACTAATGGGGATCTTTTCCTCCTCTTAGATCTTCGTCATTAAATCCCACAACATATCAATTCCTCCATCCCCTAGACACTTCCAAATTTCTGCCGGTATGTTGTCCAGTCCTGTCGCTTTACCATTTTTCATATTCCTCAATGTCTTTTTGAGTTCTTGCCTACTTATATCACAAGTCACTTCAAAATTTGGAGCTCCATCCTCAAAAACTGCTCTAGGATTTTCCTCGTTCAATAAGGATTAAAAGTTTCTTTTCCATCTGTCCCTGATCTTTCCTCTTCATTTATCACCATTCCCTCCCGTCTTTGATCTGTCAAATTTGGATGTAGTCTTTGGCTGCTTAATCCCTGGTCTTTGCAATCCTTAACGGTTATCTTTCTCTCACCCTTTTCATTTCTAATTTTGTATATTTCACTCAGTGCTATTGCCTTGGCTCTTGGCACTGCATTTTTTGCTCTGGTAATAGCTTGTTTATAATTATCTTTATCTTGTTCTAATCCTAATTTTCCCACTATTTCTTCGCCTCTCTCTTCTCTAACATTCACCTGCACTTCCTCATTCCACCACCAACTTTCCTTGTTTTCAGGGCGGCCTTTCCCAGATGTTTTACCCAGCACCTCTTCCGCAACTGCTCTTATCACTCCACTTTTAATTTCCCACCATTCCTGTATATAGGTCAGCGGTCTCACCCTTTCAAGCACTTTTTCTTTAAACTCTGTTTTCATTTCCTCCTCTTTCAGTCTCCACCACTTAATATTAGGTTCTACTTTCCGCATTTTCCATTTCTTTTTCCTCTCATACTCCCGGTCCATCACATCAACCTTATGGTGTGATGCTGTACTCTCCCCGTGAATTACTTCGTGATCTCTCTTAGGTGTTGCCGTCTACATAGGATGAAGCCAATTTAGCTTTGTACATGATTTTGCAATACAGCAAGAAATAGCAAATTATATATCATACTTCACATTTACATTACATGAGGAATTTTGCGATACGTAACCTGTAACTAGTGTAACTAAACGTTTTGTATTTTTTTTGCTTTTAATAATTATAATGAAATCGTATGAATAATCATGGAATGCAATGTATCAATCCTTGGATTAAACACAGAAAGTACGAAATCGTTGGCAATAGAATTAATAACAAACACAATATCAAACTATAATCAGCCCGACACTACCTGGCATCAAATCCCTCACCGTCGCTGATACTACAATGTCCGAGATTTTTCCTCGACTTTATACAGGGTCCAAAGAATGTTTTAGGGAACTTTCCTTTTTTAATAATTCAAAGAAAAGACCGAATGGTGCTAAATTATCTTTTATATTAAAAGGTGAATTTGCCGAATATGAAGATATATGTATATTATACTTATATATATATATATATATATATATATATATATATATATATATATATATATATATATATATATATATATATATATATATATATATATATATATATATATATATATATATATATATATATATATATATATATATATATATATATAGAGAGAGAGAGAGAGAGAGAGAGAGAGAGAGAGAGAGAGAGAGAGAGAGTGAGAGAGAGAGAGAGAGAGAGAGAGAGAGAGATAGATAGATGGGTAGATTAGTAGGTAGATAGACAGAAAAAGAGACAGAAATAGCTATATATATCCATGTATATCTACACATAAATACTGCACATCACAAAATCTAGGACCGCGTAGTATCAGTGATGGCGCAGGGCTAGATGCCAGCTATTGTCGAATTAGTTCTGGTATAAAGAACTTTCTCTCGAACTTTTCCTTCGCTTCAACAACTCAAACAAAAGATCGTGCCAAATTACCGTATATATAAAAAAAGAAGAAGAAGAAAAAAGGAAAGAAAATGTTCTTTGGATTTCAGTTAGAGGAGGGTGTTGAGTACACAAAGACAAGGAGGGTCTCAAACCTTTCAGATTTTTCTTTCGAGTTGTAACTACACAAACACACACACTTTTTTTTTTTTGTCTGCTCTGATTATCTTGAGATTTTTCTCTGTGATTAACCGAACAATTAGTTATTTTTTCCATTGCAGTTTTTTTTCTTGACGTCTTATTCACCAATGAAAAATGTATTAGCACAAGGCGAGAATATTCTATAGGCTGATTATAATACGATTAATTTAAGCATTTACGCAGTTTGTGGTGATGGCAAGGAACCAGAAATTACCTACGATTATTAGATTTGAAGTGCATTAGTGAATTAGTAATAAATAGCAGAATGCAAATGGCACTAGGATTATTATTATAAGAAGACAGTATGTCCCTTATTGTTCTGA